TATAAATAGGGATTTGTTAGGCAGATTTCTGTGTGTTTTACCATTTGTACAAAGTAACTCCAATCAAATTTACTCAAAGTACCCGAGTGTGAGAAAAGAGTATTTTCACGGAGAATGTACGTTATGTAAAATCACCAACTTTTCAATAAAGTCTTTTACAATTTCAGCAATATTTACATTTCTTCTGTTGAACCACTTGTGCAAGTGTTACGTTTTGCCTTTACCTTTCCTGCATCCTTTACTCAAGTTCCTTCTTCCCTTTAAACTTTTTACCTTTTTTCGATCAGCCTTTTACAAATCTTTTACAGCGTTTCTTTAAGTTTGTGCACTTTAAAAATACCCAGTCAAAGTCTCTTTCATTACCAGCACATTTACCGTTTCGTTATCACAAGTACTTTAAATTTAATTCTAAACGTAGAATACTTTAGCACATGTCCTAGGATCAATTTGATCGATCCTGTGAGTCACCAAAGTCAAATTTGGAAGATCAGCGGTTGTTTTCTGATTTTCAAGGGAAACAGTGTGAAAGTGGTAATGTAATAGAAAATTCATGCGAGAATAACAAATAACTTTTTCAGCAAAAATGAGCTACGAGTCGACTCATAGAATTATATGCGTCGACTCATAAAGGACAATGTGTAACACCTTTTTCTATCCCACAATTATTATGGCAAAATAACAAAGATATTAGAGTAAAATACTAAATTCAATAAAAGCCACCTCAAAAGGGCGTACATTTCCCAAATCCTCAAAATAAGTCAAGGCTCCGTAAACAACGTGTTTTCCAAAAAGACATCAAAAATTGCAAAGGCAGCGGAATTCAAAGGCATAATCCAAAGTTTTCCTTATACAGGAAGATAATCAAAATAACATCGATAAAACATGGTTCAACTCAAATACCCCAACCCGATGTTATAATATCAGAGCAAGACCCTCTAAGTTAACCAAAAGGCCAACGACGTAAAACTTCAAAAGTCCTAAATGGCATCCACAGCTAAACCTGGTCATCTACATGTTACCAACATGGAGGCAACATTCAAACAGGCAGGGTGAGTAAAACGATTCATAATAATCAATGTAGAAAATCAACATATAAAATGACGTCATTATCATATTCAACATTATCATATTCATCAATGGACATCAAAGCCATAACATCATAATTTACTCAAAATCATCTCTAAATGCAAATGCAACAAGACTCAATGCATGTGGTACCAATCATCACAACTCGATGGACACTGGGCCATCAACCCTCCATAGATCCCCATCAATAGGATCAATTCTACTTGAGAACCGGAGCACATCAAAATACCTCACATCCGCACAATGGGATTGAAGCCAAAGTAATCAAGGTCCTGAACCAAAGTCCGGATGCACATGAATGCCTGAGGCACACGTCAATAATCATCCTCATAATAACAACATAGGTGCATCATCATTCATCATAATCATCATCATCACAATCATCATCATATCTCATGTCATCATAAAATTGATCAAAACTCATGGTAATATCATCATATTACATCATAGCAATCATCATGTAATCGTGTATACATCACATAGAATTCACAGTCATACTCATGTTATTTCATCAAAGAAATCACATAATTAAAACATCAAGGCATCGCTGCACAACGTCTACATTCACGAAACTCTGCTACGTTCGCTAGCAAGTTCGCTAGGCGAGTCTGGGGCGCGTTTCTTCGTTGTGCGAAGGATTCTTCACTAGGCGAGTCTGGGACTAAATCGTTTGCTGTGCGAAGCATTCTTCGCTAGGCGAACAACGCGATGATAACAAACTCTGCTACGGACTAGGACCTAAAATCAACCAAAAAGCCCCACGGTTCACTTCCCCAATGCCCCCAACACATCCCCAAATCATCCCTAAGGTCTTACGGTGATAAAGGCACAAAACCTACGGTTTATTAGGCCAATCCCGTATCATATTCACGCCCTAAATCACAAATTTTCTTACAGTTACCCCTACTCACTAGAATTACTCACTATCTAATATTCATATCCCTTAAGGGTTAGGCAAATAACAAATCAGAGTTTTGACCACAAAAGCCTAATTTTCCTTTTTCCCCAATGAATTCCACAGTTAGATTCACAAATAATAGATTTAGGCCACGAAGGCCAAAATTCATTTTTCTCATATCCACCCTCAAAACACTTAACCCTTAAATCGACCTTAAATACATTGAATTTACACATTGAAAATCATGAAGGCAATACTCCCCATACCTTAATTGTCTATCAAAGTCTTCTCAAATCTTTCAGGGAACATTTCAAAGCTTTTGCCTCAAATCTTTCTCCTCAGAGCTCTGACCTCAATTATTCTCACGGTCTAACAAATGAATCTTAATCCCATCACAATTTCCTTTTTGTTAAACCTAGTCTTGAGTCTCAAAATTGGGCTTTGCAATATTACCCTCACTAACTCCTCTTCAATTGTCCAATTTGTCCTTATTTCACTTATATTTATTTTAATTAATAATAATACTAATATATTCATATTATATACTATTAATTAAATAAATAACCCAAAAATGCATAATTCTCAATAACTCCACAAAACCACCAAAAATCACCGAAATCTGAATATTCTTATTTAAATAAATTAAATTAAATATTCCAATTAAAATTTGGGGCGTTACACAATGAACATTCTTTTAAAAATTGTGTCTTTAGGCATCTACCCGTGCATCAACCTGTAGTTGTATGAGTCAATGCATACTAAATGAACAACCATATACACCTACCTATGAATTGATGCATGCTCAATGGAAAATTCTATGTACCTACCTACTGCATCTATGAGTTGATGCACGCTGAATGAAAAATTTTATGCACCTACCTGTTGCAGTTTATGAGTTGATGCATAAAATTCATTTTTGATTTAGTAAATAATTTTAAACTGATGCATAAAACTCATTTTTGACCAAAAACCTTACTTTTTTTACTTAGTAAATGATTTTAAACAAATAAGAATGATTATGCACTCCTATCATGAATATACAAGATTGAGAGAATAATGTCCAATATACACAAATACTAAATGTCTTAATTTTGACATCAATCAAAACATACTATTAAAAAAAAGAAATGCACTCACACCCATCATCTCTAATTGATCTGACTCTCCATCCAAATCTCTAAAAATAAAAACAAACTTTCTAAAACCTTACCAACCAAAATTCTTCAAGTATTTACTTCTGCGCATTCCTTCCTTTTTTAGAAATCCATCCCTTTCTTCCGGACTAGGGTAACTTTGATAACTTTAAGCAACAAATTATTTTATCACATTAATATAATATGTATTAATTAACCATTCATTGTTTATATTAACTAAAGTTAAAAGTCATGGTAACAGTAAAGTTACCCAAGCCATTCCCCTTTCTTTCCCTCCAAATTCCCAACCAAACTTTAAAGAAGGATTGCGATTCTTTTTTTGATACGGGTTTTCTTAGTTCCTTAATTTTGTTTGATCAATCTCTCGTTTTGTTTTCGCAATTATGATTTATATCGCATATCGCAACTTTTTCTTTCACCTCTCACTCTCAATTTGCGAATAAGAATCTATGGAGAAGGGAGCGACGCGGTGACTGAATTCAGACCCTGGTGCCTGCGACACTGTACGGTGCTTCTTTCTTCTTCATTCTTCTTTCAAGTGAAAAAAAACACACACAATATTCATTTTGGAATCGGATCTTACCTGCATTTCCGTCTTCTACTGTTCGGTTAGTTTCCTCATCTTCACCTCAAACTATTATATCTGTTTTTTCTCTTATTTTGTCATTGCAATTTCTCGTTTTCAGCTTTTTATGTGTGCTGAATATTTTTGCTTAAAACCTAATTTCGAGTGTGTGTGCGCGTGTTTTTCTCTTAGCAATTTTGGAGGTTCCGCCATTTCAATTCACTGCTCAATTGGATTTGTAGATGCATGATGGTTGATAGTTGATAGTTGATGCCATTGTTAATCACTTCATCAATTTGATTTCAGATTTCTACATTGGCACAAACGTGTGAAAATTGAGGGTTTGTTTTTATTACCAAAGTAATGATGAGGGTTTAGAAAAAAGTCAATAATTTTTGTTTTTTTACATTTCTACTCAAATCCCTGCTTACTTGAACTGATAGCAAGTCTTTTTTTTTCCTTCCCTTTTGCTTCTATTATTTTCCACTGACCGGTGATGTTGGCGAAACTTCATTTATAAGTCTTACAGCATCTAGGATTGATGCAAATGCTTTAGTTGCTTACATTTGTTTCTTTCCCTTGGAAGCATCTCAATTTTTTATAGACTAGAAGCACCTCATGTATATTATTAAATGACAGTGTTATGGAGCTGATTGTAGATAGGAGAAGGTGCTGCAGGAACACATGGAAGTAACTACAATTCAAAGGGGCTGTTTTAGAAATATGACAGCGTAGTATGCAAGTGTCGGTAATATAATTTGGTAAAATAAGTTCATTGAGTATATCTATTCTGTAATTCTTGGTGACACTAGGATTTGTGGAAGGCATTGAACAATTGGAAAGTGGAAGTAAGGTGTCGCGGGCGTGGAGATGATCCTGATGAGGCATTGTGACAGTAAGAAGCATATCAGATTTTGAAGATCAAAGGAGAAAAAAGAAAAACTAACTTGAAGTGAAGTATATAACTCTTCAGTCTTCACTGCACTGAGGTTAGTGTTGTATTATTTATTTAATTTAACTAATGATTATATCAAGTGTTAAAAAAATATAAATCAGTAATATTTATATGTTAACAACATAATACAAAAGAGTTTTTAAAGTCTTTTAGTAACATAGCCCTTATCTAATACTTGTTGAAATGTTGGTAAATTTTGATATTTATATTAACTAGAAAAGAAAGACAAATACGAAAAGAAAAAGACATGAAAATAATTAATAAGGTGTTTAAAATATATAAAAAGTTGAGTTCTTTTTGCTAACAACTTATAAATTCAAAGCAAACCAGCACTAATTCTAATTATTCTACAATGACCTGACATCCATTCTCAACTTCCAAATTCTGTAGCATTGCAACCATAGCATGGGAAGGTCTCCGAACACATACTTTTGTTAAGGAAGTCAAAGACCATAGTTCACTTGGGAGGCTATCCAACTTATCACATTTATGAATATCTAGGATGTGAAGGCGTGGCATGGAACCATTAGCTAGTTTCCAGTTTTGGATAGGCAAATTTCTCATTTGAAACACCTGCAACTGTGGGAACCCATTTGAAACACAACTAAGATCAAAAAATGAATCTGAAAGCCAATTGTCTCCTGTTAAAATCAACCTTTGGAGTTTGGTGAGATTTCCAATAGCATTCATCCCATCCTCATTCAAACAAGTAATATCTCCCAATGTTAACTCGGTAATGTTGGGAGGAAACATGACCTCACATGTTAAAAGGTCAAGTGCATTGGTGATTTTCAATCTACTCAAATGGCTCAAGTGCTTCAAACTTTGTAAAATTTCCTCGGGCTTATAATTGATATCCCATCGCGAGTGTGGCCAACCTTTCACTTTGAATAAGATTTCTAGCTTATTCAAATGTTTCAATTGTTGAAGGCTTAGCAACATTTTGGGCACATCACCCTTGAAGTTTGAGGAGATATGCAATCCTAATTTTCTTAGTTTGGGGAAACTTTCTTTCTCTATGAGATATGTTGTTTTTTTATTGAGTACAATGCAAGAGATTGTTTGAAGATTCCGCATTACTTCACCATTTGATTCTAAACAGTGCCCGCGCACCATGATAGGCCCCAAAGTATACACATGCCTTAGATGTTTGAGCTTTGATATTCCAATGGGGAAGGAAATTGTGATGACCATGATTGAAGGTCCAAAGTCTAATGTTTGTAGATTCTGAAGGTTACATATAGAATCTGGAACACTTCTAATATATTTTGAGACTATTCGTAAGTACCTCAAGTGAATGAAGTTCCCTAAGTTTGCAGGAATCTTAAAACAGCAGTCTCCTTCAAGATGTAACACCCGAACCAATTTGAAGCCTTTGGTAAGCCAGTTCCACTCATCGTGAGAAATGAAGCAATTTGAGTCATAACAAAACAAAGAGCGAACACATGAATGGTCATTAAAGCTTGAAGAAATATAATGAGACATGCTAGAATGGACAGACAATCTACGAGGTTTTGTAGGGATTAAAATGTTGTTGTCATTGAAAACTTGAAAGATCTTATCCTCTTTGCTCTCTAATATGCAGAGATCTCTGAGAAGATCATGGATGCGACATGTTTTCATGCCTCCACTATCTTTCACTTGTGCTACTTGGATCAAACTACGATCAATGAGCTCATACAAATAGTCTTCCGCAACATCATATGCATCTCTACTTCCAGTTTCTTGTATAAATCCTTCAGCCATCCATAGTTGCAACAATTTCCTTACACGTATTTCAGAATCTTCAGGGAATATCCCTAAATACAGAAAACACGGTTTCAGTCTTGCAGGCAAGTTGTTGAAACTAAGTTTAAGTACAACATCTTTTACTTGAGTCTCGTCTCGAGTAAGATACCAGTTAACATGACCCAACACTTTGGACCATTCTCTGTGTGATTTTTCCTTATTTGCCAGAAGTCCTGCAAGAACCACAATTGAGAGTGGCAAACCACCACAACTTTTAACAATTTGTTTACCTAGAGAATCAAGATCACAAGGGTACTCTTCTCCTCTAAACACTTTTTTGGAAAAGAGTTCCCAACTTTGTTCTTCATTGAGAAATTGAAGATAGTAAGGAGGATCTCGACTGGTATGCGAGGCAACTTCTTTCAAACGACTCGTTATTAATATTCTGCTTCCTTCATTTCCACCAGGAAAAGCATCTCTTACCTCCTCCCAATCTTGTATATTCCACAAGTCATCAAGAACCAGGAGATACTTTTTGCACTCCAAGCATTTGCGAACTTTTTTCTTCAGCTCATCATCACTTAAGCTAGAGATGTCTTGAGAATTATTCAGAGCTTCCTTGTGTTTCTTCTTACCCTTTTTGATCTTGCTGCTTCTACATTCATAATTATGGTTTGGCATCAAATTTTGAAGAAGACCAAGCAAAAGCTCTTTGGCCCTACATTCATTTGACACATAAACCCATGCGCGGCAATTGAAGTGTTTTTTTATCTCATCACTGTTATAGACTTTTCGTGCCAGGGTGGTTTTGCCCAATCCACCCATACCAATAATTGAAACAACTTTGAGTCGCGGTGAACCGCCCTCTACGAGTCTATTGATGACTACCTCAGATTCATGGACAAAGCCCACTACATTTTCCTCCTCCACGTTTCTTCTTAATCTGTGAAGTGATTTCATCCTATTCTCCTCTTCTCTTGTTGATGTTGATTGATCACTGCTTTCTTGACAGTATTTGATCTTATTTTCATGTATCTCGTTGAGTGCGGTTTTGATCTTGTCAATTTTCTCTGCTGCATCTCGGAGCAACTTTGCATGATCAAAGCTGTGAAGCGTTCTTTCCAGCATGTTTTTCTTCTTGTAGATGGCAACATTGGCTATGAATGTGTCGATGACATCCTCGGCTAAGTAGGAAACATCTCGGATCTGACTCAGAACCTTTTGTTCAATCTGTTTGTTGTTGTTGTTCCCTTCAGAAGAAGTTTTGAGGTATATGTTTATGATTTCGAGTTCGTTACGGAGGGATATGATTCTGTCTTCCACTCCACACAGCAACTTAGCTTCGCGTTGCAGCAATTGGGATAAGTGTTCCAAAAGGAACGCAACCACGCTATCTGCCATGTATATATAGTATAGTGTGTAAGTAAAGAGAAACTTGTGGTTTTGGGTGATTCTTATCAAAATATTAAGGAAGACAGAGTTGTTATATAGTATACCCTATGAGAGTTACTCGCGCGGTTGTAATATATGTGGCAGTTACATAGTGTGGAATAAAAAAATAGTTAGGAAAGTAGATGGAAACTGTGCCTCAATAATTAATAAAGACTTGGAGTAGACTTAGACAGTTAGACTTAAGCTGTTTTCTGCTTACTAGGAAGCAACAATAAAGTTGAAATGCACCATCCATGTATTTACCTCATTGATACTCTTTAGCTTTTCAATGGATTTGTCTTTATCAGTGAACTTTCTTTTTATTTTCTGATGCATAGGTATGACACTGCAGTGGAAAAGTTAAAATAAGCTTCAAGGTTTCATAAACCACTCAAACTCAATTATTAGAAAAAGCCCTTGCGAAGCACAAGACAATTCTCACTTGTCAGTTCTATCTTGAAAGGGATGCATTAAACTAATGGTTCGGAACAGAATCAGCCGCTTCAGTTAGGACCAAATATTCACCCGTCTCGTAATAACTGTTAAATTTGAACACAGAAGATCGTCTTAAAAAACTTATCGGTTTTAATTGATTATTTTTCACATAATTTATTGATGGGTTAATAGGAGTAATTTATTAAAAACTTATATGAAATTATTAATTGCGACAATTAAAAATTTGGATAAAAATATCTCCGTATAAATATCCAAAAATTTAAAATTCTAAAAAACATAAAAGTAAGTTATTCGGTTCACATTTTTAACTTTGGAGAACTAAATAGTAAGTTTTTTGATTCTCTTTTTTTCTTTTAAAGGTGACTCTCCGGATAACTTGTGGTGTAGTTATCCGGTTGGTATTTATTTCACACCGAATAACTTGTGTAGTTATTTGGTTCTGTTATTTTTCTCACCAAATAACTTATCTCATGTTATCCGGTTATGTTATTTTCTTAACCGAAAAACTTGTCTCGTAGTTTTTCGATGTGATGGATTCTGAAATTTTTAGTGGCTAACATTCGAGGACGGAATGGACGTATTTATCGACGATACGATAAAGGACGACCGACTCAACAACCGTGGAATTGTGAGGAAGATCAGATAGCTGCACCTGCGTCTATTCCACTGCATCCACCATTTTTCGGAGGACAATCTGATACGTCTCTTTTAGTGAGGTATCAGAACAACGTTGCTCGACATTTGTGGGATGGGGAAGTAAGTTTTTATATGACATTTTAGATTGAATCAAATTTAACGTTGATTATTTATATATTATAACATATATTATGATTTATTTTCAGGAGAGAGTTTCAAAGAAAGAGTTGAAGGTTGTTGCACATGGCAGCAAGTTGATTGGATGGGTTCCACATATTTTCCCACCAATGATTGAGCAATGGTTATCTGATTCTGGTCTATTCTTTCTACAAAGAACCAGTTTATCGAGAATAAATCAGAACTTAATATATGCATTTATGGAGAGATGGCATCCAGAAACATCATCATTTCATATGCCATTTGGCGAGATGCCTATTACTTTGGACGATGTTTCTTGTCTACTTCATCTACCGTGTAGGGAGAGTTGTGTGACCCTACAAAAGGATTCATTGATTTAGATGTCATTACTCAAGAAATTGATCTTCTGGGTGTTTTGTTGGAAGATGCAGCTGAAGAGGTTCGTGGATGCAGAGGTCCTTATTATAGCTTGGATTGGTTGAAGCATCTATTTATCCGTCAACGAACTGTGAACATATTTGACTGTGCAGCTAGAGCCTACGTGTTGTTGTTAGTTGGCTGCACCATTTTTGCTGATAAGACATTTACACTTGTAGAGGAAAAATATTTATCACTATTTCAGAACTTGTCTAGATGTGATAGATACTGTTGGGGGGGGGGGGGGGGGCAGCTGCACTTGTCACACTTTATATCAATTTGCTATCACATAACCCATATTTGGTAATGTCATCCATTTATCTAATGGTTGAGTATCTAAAGACGATATCATCAAGGAGTCTCTCGCTTTTGATAAACGACTTCCAAATAAATTCTCATATAGACTGATTCTGAAACCTCTAATTTCATTATTGAAATCACGACGAACCATTGACCAACCATTCTCACCATATCCATGCAATGATGCAATCGCTCTATACCCATAGTTTCCGTCACTCTTAACATCAACAATGTCATGAATAAATGGTCTGATATGCTCTGTAAATTGTACAATGTACCTATTAAATGGTTTCTTTGATGTTTGGGATAACTGTGAACATGGTCTCTTTGAAGATTTTTTAGAACTACTATGTGCTTGATCAACATACTTATGATACGAAGGATCACGATAAACATCATATCCCACAGGTTTCTTCCGTTTTCTCTTCACTCCTCCTTTGGTCTTTATATTTCAGGCGGTGGTATTGTAACGCCCCGATTCTGAATTTCCCATTATTTTGTTGAGTCTTTTAATTTATTGGTTAATTGTTATTTTATTGTGGAATTATATGATAATATGTTATATGTGTATGTTGTGGTATTTTATTATTTGGAGAGTTTTGAGAATTAATTAGAGGGTGTTTTAGATAATCCTTGATTAGTAGTTATTTTGAGAGAAATAGAGTAGAAAGAGTATAAGTGGAAAAGAGAAAGAATAGAGAGAATAGAAACCAAGAGGAAAGAAAAAGAAGAGAAAGAAAGGAAGATAAGAGAAAAGAGGAGAAAAACCTAGAATCATCAAGAATTCACTTCAAAGCTTTCGATTGATCGGGTAAGGGTGTGAAACATTATTATTCTTGCAATGTGTATGATTATGTGTGTTCTTGTTGCTTTTGTTTTGGATTGGGGAGAGTTTTTCTCATTTTTCATTTTAGGGCATAATGAGTTTAATCGGTAGAACAGATGTTTTATCGGGTAGAATCTGATGTAAGTGATGTAGAATAGTCAGGGTGTGATAGACTAAGGCTATTGGAACTGATTTGATGAGAATCGGTCGGGTTTGAAGAGGTTGGGAAATTCTGAACAGTGAGAAATTTCTGGTTCGCAGACACTCGCTAGCTGTTCGCTAGGCGAGCTGGTCGCAAACGTTCGTTGAGCGAGCAGTAGCGAATAGATAGCGAATGGTCCCAGACTTGGACAAAATGCATGTTGTGGTGTTCGCTGGTAATGAATGGGGGTAGCGAAGGTTCACTAGGGGTTCGCTGAGCGAGCGAGGTAGCGAACGAAGTCAGAGGCTTCTGTTTGTCTTCGCGAGCTTGTTCACTAAGTGAACAAGTAGCGAATACTCGCTAGGAGCTCGCTAAGCGAGCAGGTGGCAAACGTGGCAGGTTGTGTTTTTTTTAATGTTTCCATCCGAGGTTGGGTTTCCGACTTAACTTTGATTATTTTCTTGCTCGAGGCATCGATCATGCTGAGTTATGTTGTGTTGTGGGTAGCGGTATGACGTGAATCCTAGATTGTGAATTCTGGAATGTGTATGTGGCCGTTTGGCAATTTTATGCAATTGTTCGAATTAAATGGAATTGCATGGTGATATTAATGTGACGCGCCTCTTTTATACCATGTTTTAAATTCATACTCTGATGAAACTTTTATTAATTGCTTAAATGATTTAAGTGTTTATTTTGGGGGTATAAAAAGGGGGTGTTACATTAAGTGGTATCAGAGCCAGTGTTGAGTCAGTTGTGTCTGTCTTCTTGTTGTGTTGGTTAAACGGTTGTTTGACCTTGTTGTTATTTTTGGGAATCCTCAGAATATGGCTGGTTGTAATGACACTGCTATGACTGCGGCATTGGAGGCTATGGCAAGAGCGGTGCAAGGTGCGCCGAATGTGAATGCGAATGATGAGTTTAGAAAGAATCAGCCGCCTGTATTCAAAGGAAGGTTTGATCCTGACGGTGCTCAGATCTAGTTGAAGGAGGTTGAGAGAATCTTTAGAGTTATGAACTGTGCTGAAGGAAACAAGGTGAGACTTGGGACTCATATGTTGAGGGAAGAGGCTGATGACTGGTGGGTCAGTATGAGGCAAGTTCTTGAGGTGGATGACGAAGAAATTACTTGGGATTTGTTCCGCACTGAATTTTTGAGGAAGTACTATCCTGAGAGTGTGAAGGGTAAAAAGGAAATGGAATTTCTTGAGTTGAAACAAGGCAACATGTCTGTGGTAGATTACACGGCTAAGTTTGTGGAACTAGTTCAGTTTCATCCTCATTATGCAGTTGTTACAACAGAGTTCTCTAAGTGTATTAAGTATGAGAATGGCTTGCTTCCGGAGATAAAGCAAGCGGTGGGTTACCAGAGGATACGAAGATTTTCGGACTTGACCGAATGTTGTAGGATTTTTGAAGAGGATAGTAGAGCTCGTTCTACTCACTACAAGAGTTTGAGTGAGAAGAAAGGCAAGCAACAAGTGAAGAGTGGACCTTATGTGACGCCTGTTGATAAGGGCAAGTATAGGGGAAACTTCGATAGGAAATCGGGAGGTGGAAGTTCGGGTGCAGTCAAATGTTACAAGTGTGGCGTGATGGGTCACAAATCTTTTGAGTGTGGGAAGTCTACGGAGAAGTGTGCTACTTGTGGAAGTTTTGGACATACCACTTCTGAGTGTAGAAGGAATGTGGTAAAGTGTTTTAACTGTGGAGAAGTTGGTCATATTAGCACCAAGTGTGCCAAACCAAAGCAAGCTCAGTCGGGTGGAAAAGTATTTGCATTAGCCGGTTCAGACACTACTAATGCGGATCGCTTGATTAAACGTACGTGCTTTATTAATAATATGCCTTTAGTTGCTATTATTGATACTAGAGCGACTCATTCGTTCATTTCTCTTGAATGTGCTAAGCGTTTGGGTTTGCGCATGGTTTCTTTGAGTGGTGGCATGGTTATTGAGACTCCTGCTTCAGGGTCGGTAACTACTTCTTTGGTGTGCGTAAGTTGTCCCTTGACCATGTATGGTAAAGACTTTCTTATGGATTTGGTGTGTTTGC